TAAATCTGATTCAAGTATATCCGTATTTATAACCTATTAGTGACTTCTCATTGCTATAGATCCACATTCTCTTGTCTAAGTCAATGGGACAGATATGTTTTGGAATTCAGAGTGTTTCAAATTTTAGGAAGATAATAGAATGAATAAACTGTATATTATATAATACCCCAGGTAGTATCTAGGACAACACCCCATAGCCAATCATGCCGACTTATTTCTCAGGCAAAATATAAAGATATCCACACTAAAAAGAAGAAAAAAGAATATGCATAGTTTTCATTAGCTTGAGCCATGTGATTCCAGCTAAATAGAACAGATCGTGTGATCTTTTGCCACTAAATTAGTTCTAAGAAAAAGTTTTTGATTTTCAGAGCTTTTTGGTCCTTTGACTTATAGAGCTCCTTGTCATCAAGCTCTTGTCTGTCTCCAGTCTCATCTTTCTCTTCTAATATTAATTGCCAATGCTGAACTTGAAATAAGACCCCTTTGCCTGACTAACTCCTTCGCTGCCTTCAGTCTTAAGGTGAGCTAAAGCAATCTGATATCTTTTGAAGATAAAATTAAGGTACAGAGACACCAAGTGTGAAATAATCAGAGGTCAGATCATAAGATAGCTTGCATAAAATAATTAAAAAATTAAGTTTGAGTTTGAAAAGGCCAACATAGACTTTTAGAAAAACATTCTGATAAATGCATAGGATATAGAATTGACATAGGCAAGACTGGATTCTTGGGGGCACACTGAGGATGACCTTCAATAACAGAGGCAAAATAGCTGAGTTACAACAAGATAGGAAAGCAAAGGATTATAACGTGTTTGGGAGGAAAAAAAAATACCAAAATATGCTGATCCCCGATCACTTGTGGGAAGCGAGGAAGAGGGAGGTCATAGATATCTCCCAGGAATCCTGTTTTTGGAATTGCGTAGATGATATACTATAACTAAGATAGTGTGCAAATGAACGAAAGAAGGTCTGGGCTAGGAAACTGCTTGTAAGGGCAGTTGAGCCTCTGCTGGGTTTACTGTTTTCTTAAAACACCCACAGGATATGTGCATCAAACAAAAGATAGGATGTTTAGAGAAAGGATAAGATAGAAGATATTTAGGTGACTATAAACCATCAATTTCCTAATTTGTCCATTAAATATTTATTGAGCAAAACTATGTAACTTTGACCATTCTTGAGCTGAGAATTCAATGTTGAACAAGAAAGAAAATATTTATTGCTTCCCCTCACCACCTCAGAGATTATAGTCAGAGATGTGCCACTCAATGGATGGGTCATAGACCAAGGTAAAACAACAATGTTCTAAACCTACAAATTGGTTAAGCTGATGTTTTTAATCATGCAGTACTTCTTAATGAAGGCAGAAATGCATTGTTGACATACACTATTCATCTCATGGCAGATGATAACAAACTCTCATTTAAGTTTCACTATTCTAGTCTAAAGGACAGTCTAAAAAATAAAGAGATTACAAAAAATGGCAGAATTAAGGACAGGGATAATAGATATCAGAACAGAGGAACCAATTTATCCTGGAATATGGTGGTTAGAAAGTGAGGAAAGGCTTAATTATCTTAATTATCCAGATGAAGGAAAAAACATTCAGGGCAGAGAAAATAGCATGTCCTTCTGGTAGGAAAAAGATCGAGACATCTTAATCGTGGAGCAGAGGCAGTGTGCGAGAGAGGGAAAGTACGGTGTGAAGATGGTGTTAGAGACTTGGGCAGGGCCACCATCACACAAATCAGGTAAAGGATTTAGAAAATCAGGTAAATGTATCAGAACACAATGGAAGGTTTTGATCAGGGGAGTGGTATGACCAGCTTTTTGTTTTAAGATCGATCAGTCAGGGATAGAGAGCGAGTAAAGATTGAAGGAGACTAATTTTGAAACTGGGGTGTAATTTTAGGAGACGTTTTTAATTGCCATAATTTTGTGTGTGTGTGTGTGTGTGTGTGTGTGTGTGTGTGTGTGTGTGTGTGTGTTACGCACTATTGCATCTAGTGGATAGAGTCCAGGGATACTGCTAAATATCTTACAATGCACAGGATATCCCCACAGCAAAGAATTATTTTGTCCAAAATGTCAATGATGACAAGGTTGAGAAACCCGAGACTAGAGGGAAGACATTAGGAGAACTGGATAGATTTATGCTAAATTTGGAAGATGGAATGACCGTATTTAGAAAGGACTGTATATTAGGAGAATTACAAGGTTTCTGAGTTAACTAGATAGGTGGAAATGCTACTAATGCCGATGTGTGAAAAAAAAATTGTTTTTTCTCCCTAGGGAAGAGCAAAAGTTCAATTTCATTGACATAAAGGCTTGACACCCTTATGAAAACTCCGAATGAAAAGAGCTAGTAAATAACTACATATCTTTCTCTAAAATTTTAACAAAAGAGTTGTGTATTAGAAATATACATTTGAATGTCATAGCAAATGGATAGTATTTTAAGCCATGAGGGGGATGTGTCTCCCCATATGGACAAAATATGTTGTCTGGAAGGATGAAAATTACCCCCTCTACCCTTCTTGAGTTCTTATGGCTAAATACTAAAATTGACACAAGATTGTAAATGATCATATTCCCTGAAATGATGAACTAGTCAGTTTTTTATACTTTTTAGACAAAGAAACGATAAATTTGCAGTGAGCTAAACAAATCTACTAACTGATGAATTAAATGAATGAACTAAAAATAAACTAAGATTGCCCTGAAAATGTCCATTGTATTTAGCAGCATAGAGCCAGTGCTAACAATATCAGTGAAATTTCAGAAGACTGTTAAACCGAAGAGAAATCATATGGTTATTGAAGATTATAAGAAGGGAGATAGTTGACAAATTGATCACACAGATCTTTAGAGAAAGCTTTATCTTTAAAAATGAAAAGAGCTATCTAATCATGGAAGAAATGACACTATTTACAATTTGGGGGTTGAAGAAGGTTGATCACGTTTACAAGGCTGAGGAAACAGAAGCATTAGAATAGGTTACAATGAAGCAATTGGAAAGAGAAAAAATAATTGGTCAAGGCCCCAAATGTGACTTTGCTTGGGATGGGAATTGGGGACCGATACCTAGGGTCACTTCAAACACTGAACAAGTTATGATTAACCTCAGAGTTGTATTTAATTATGAAAGAAATATTTATGTTGGATTAAAGGTAACTTTTAAAAGATAAAACGATTTACGGGCACATGTTTATTTGAAGGGATGTAAAAACAAAAATGATTTGATATATTCCTTCATTTTGTAAATAATTTGGAGCACTCACTGTGTGCCAGATGCCAGGTCAAAGAAAATTAAGCTCTGCTATTATTCCTGAGGAAGTCCTGTGTACTCACCTCTTGCTACACATGTGACTTCTCTGCAAGTTCAAACAACTAAAATCTTAATCTGCATGACCCATGTCAAAAGACATCCCTTCCAATTCCTCCACGATGCTTGTGGGAGTTCATCCAAATGAAGAGCTTATAAAATGCTAAGATCCTTATGGCAGAAGAGTTAAAGCTTAGGTGAGATAAACACCTGTCAGATATGAGGAATTTGATTTTGTCTTTGAGGTATGAGAAGGATTTGGAGACACGAGCAATACATTTGGTAGAAATTTGTAAGCAAAACGATGGGCAGACTATTCCCTTGGTGCCAGATACTATATTATAGTATCAAAAACTATAAAAGATTAGAAAAAATAATCATCTTTGAAACAGAAAAGATCAAGTTACATAAATAGCTTCTTGGTTTCTAATTTCTAAAAGATGCTTTAAGGCAGAAGCTGGATATGATAATAAGTAAAAAAAAAAAAAGACATCTCTAATTCCCAGATTTTCTATATGCCACTGATTTTTTAATAGTGATAAGGATAATTTTAACTACTTAATACACAGGTGAGTTTTATGTTGCTTTGTCTGTCTAAAAGGATGAGCAACAGAGAAGCTCAGCAGGGAGTGAAATGAATCACTCTCTAAGGTGTCTCATTTCTCACTCCCAACTGAGTTGGCAAAGGTTAGTACACTATTAAAATTCAAGCTTTTGCAAATGTATTTCATTGGTAGTCAACTCACCCGAGATATATCAGTTTTTAGCAATTATTTTCAGTCATAGCCTAAGTGTTTGCCAAAGAATTCTCTGCCTCACGTGGAGAAAGAATCTAGTAATTACATGCTGGATAAAACATGTCTTGCTTAACGATGATAAGCTAAATGAGAGGACAAATAGAAGATAGTTTGGTAACTCTCCATAGTAACTTTGAATATCAAAACAATATAACTAAAGGAATTAAGAAACTGTTCCTTCAGTGGCTGTATTTGGGGGTTTCATGAAGGAGGTAAAATGCAAATATTATCACACTGAAATGTTATTTTTTCACCTGGGTATTCATTGTTCATATGATTCCA